ACAACTGTTTATCTGACATAGTTTGGGATTAGACTTCCAAGGTCCTTTCTAACTCTTTTACTCTGTTATTCTGATTTTATTGACAAAAACCTATAGAAAAATCATATGGTAACTTAGATTAGTTTTCTCCAAAGAAGAAGTAATAGGTTATTAAACATGCTATTAACAATAATTCTTAACTGAATATGCTGGTTAGCTCATTTTATATTCCAAATCTTTCTTGCATATTCCAGCCAAATTACAGTAGTAGCAGTCATATTTTAATGATGCTTGCACAGGGAATCCTTCCATTCCCCACCATCCAGTCAGAGCTGAAGAAGCTTCTTGGATGAGAAGCGAAACATCTTCAAAGAAAAGTCCAGTTGCCTCGTGAAAAAAGCACTTTGGGGTTTTCTGTTTCTTCTTTCTCTTCTCTCACATCTGGCCAGGGTTCTAGAAAGATAGCTCCTACATTATAGATATTAATTCATTCCTTTCAAATGGACTTCTTTTGACAAGAAACATGAAAGAAACACTCTTTTTATTTTGCAAACGTACTGAGCTAAACTGAGCAAATGTGGTAACAAGAGTGCCCTTCATCATATATAAGTGAACCACACTGGCTCAGATTAAAGAGTAACGAATATGGTGTTGAAAATCAGATACTTAATTGGCATCTCTAAAATCTCCATACTTAGATAGCCCAGTTCATAGCAAGGAATCTTTCTTATGGATCTCTAATCTCAAACTGAAATTGATTGGTTTTAATTTGTATGTTCTAGTTTCTTGGCCTAAGTTTGCTATGACTTGAGTGTCACCTAAGTTTTACCATGATTGTATTAATCCTTATTTTGAAGATTGCAATTTTTTTCCCCGAGGACTGTTAGTAATTTCCCCCCCTCCCTTTGGGCCCAAGGGTATGGCATGAGATATACCATAATGCTTGCAGAAGATAGTGTTTCATGCATTGGGCACAAGACACGGAAGATTGCCTCAATGAACTCGTCTAAGTATGAACAAAGCTGTTCCAAGTATAGGATGTTTTTGAAGCTTCAAAAGGAACGTCCCACTTGAACTTAGGCACAGTTGACAGACACAGGATGACTTACAAGGTCTGCTTTCATAACCCCATTAGCTGCTAATTGGGCTACTTTTAAATATGACTCAGTGTTCTAATAAAAATTTCAGCCCAAGAGTCGAATCAAAATTTACTTCCTCTCCTAGCTTACTTCTCACCTCAAGGAGAGCAATTGATGGGTTACCCCACCAAGGTTCTTACACCAGCAATCATGTTTGAGGGGATGAGACAGAAACAGGCCTAGAATAATCTGCAAGGCCCCTTCCTTAACTTACCTCACACAAAGCAAATAAGGAAACCACCACAGACATCATCAAATAATTACCAGTAATTCAAGGTTATTTGAGGGGCTGCCACAGAGAAGAAGGGGATCAAGCTATTTTCTAAAGCACCCGAAGGCCAGACAAGGAATAATGCATGGAAACTGAACAAGGAGAGATTTAACCTGGAAATAAGGAGGAACTTTCTGACAGTGAGAACAATCAACCAATGGAACAGAAGTTGCCCTTGGAAGTTGTGGGAGTGCCATCATTTGAGACTTTCAAGAAGAGATTGGACTGCCATTTGTCAGAAATGGTGTAGGGTCTCCCGCTTGGGCAGGGGGTTGCACTAGATGACCTACAAGGTCCCTTCCAACTCTGATTATCTGTTATCTGTTAAGGTTGCAATTTTTATGCTAAGATGGCTTTCTTCTAACTTCAGATTTAAATGGAGGCCATTTCAACTGGTTAATACAAGGTTGCCTAGGAGTAAAACAAACAAACCTGATTTATGAACTAAAATAAAACTTAGGCGAAGCATTGCTATGTTAATACAAACTTTCCAGTAAAGACTCTTAGCTGAAAACTGTCTAACTTAAGTGTACAAAAATACAAAGATTTTGAGACAGTTTGAAACCAACTTACTGAATTTCTCATGATGTCAGTGATGGTGGAGAGCTAAGCTGATATATTTCTGTCTGCAGTGTAGTTGAAACTACAGTGAAATGATGGGGCTTGTTTATTTATTTATTAAATTTATATGGCTATTCAGTGCACTCACTTAACATCCAGTTAAAAACAAAATGTCATAAGAACAAATATAAAAACACTTCATCCATGCATATATAGAATAGAATAGAATACTTTATTGGCCAAGTGTGATTGGACACCGTTGGTGTAAATACTCTCAGTGTACATAAAAGAAAAGATACATTCATCAAGAGTCAAGAATCATAAGTTACAACACTTAATGATAGTCATAGGGTACAGTAAGCAATCAAATCATACTAGGAAACAGTCAATATAAATCATAAGGATACAAGCAACAAAGTTACAGTCATACAGTCACAAGTGGGATAGGATGGGTGATAAGGAGTGATGAGAAGATTAACAGTAATAGTAGTGCAGACTTTGTAATAGTTGAACAGTGTTGAGGGAATTATTTGTTTAGCAGAGTGATGGCTTTTGGGGAAAAAACTGTCCTTGTGTCTAGTTGTTCTGGTGTGCAGTGCTCTGTAGCATCGTTTTGAGGGTAGGAGTTGAAAGAGTTTATGTCCAGGATGTGAGGGGTCTGTAAATATTTTCACAGCCCTCTTTTTGACTCATGCAGTATACAGGTCCTCAATTGAAAGCAGGTTGATAGTAATTGTTTTTTCTATATATTTATACAAATGTGTATGTATGCCTTTAAGCCAGTGTTAATTCCTGGTGACTGCCTTCACTAGTCCTTGCAGTCTTCTTGGCAAGATTTTCGGAAGTGGTTTGCCACTGTGTGCTTCCTAGTGCTGAGAGAGAGAGTGACTAGCCCAAGGTCACCCAGCTGGCTTTGTGGCTAAGACAGGCTTAGAACCTCATATAGTCAATTTTCAGGGGGCTTATTTAGGTGTATGTGTGTATGTGTGTGAGAGAGTAAGTATATACACATCAGAGGTAGTATTCAGCAGGTTCTGACCAGTTCTGGAGAACCAGTAGCAGAAATTTAGAGTAGTTCGGAGAACCAGCAAATACCGCCTCTGACTGGCCCCACCCCCATTTGTTCTCTGCCTCCCGAGTCCCAGCTGATTGGCTGGGTCTTCTTTGGTTGCCCTGCACAGGAGAACAGAGCTGGAAAGCAGGTTATTGGGTGGGGAGGGAATGGGATTTTGCAATAACCTTCTCCTGGAGTGGGGTGGGAATGGAGACTTTGCAGTATTCTTCCCTGCCATGCCCACCAAGCCAGGCCCACAGAACCGGTAGTAAAAAAAAATATTGAATCCCACCACTGATACACATACACCTAAATAAGCCCCCTGAAAACTGGCTCACCTAACATCCTGCCTGAGGTAAACACCAAGTCTTCAGCACCATATGAAATGCCAGAAGAGTTGGAGCTGTCTAGATGTCTGTTGCAATGGCAGAAAAAGCATCTCCTCAGACCATAAATAACCTTATGTTATTTAATAGACGGGAGATGGAGCATGCCTACTCTATCAGAACTTGCTGGGCAGGCCAAAATAATTGAACATAGATGACCTACCAATCATCTGTCTCTATGCTATGAAGGGCTTTGTAGGTAATAGCCAGCACCTTGAATCGCATCTAGTGTAGCTTCCAAAGTAGTAGTGCTCTCAAGGTATGTCCATCAATATTTGTGTTATCTGGTTTAGGAGGCAACTTCCGCTTTGGAGTAGTCTTCAGAGGTAGCTCTATTGTACAGCATGTCATAATCCAGGCAAGAGACATGAGAAACTATAAGCAGGGCCTCCCAATCCAGGAATGTACACAGTTGGCCAAAGATGGAGCTGTATAAAAGATCTCCTAGCCGTGCCTAACACCTGCTCTATGAGCAGGAGCCGAAAGTCTAGGGGCAACCCAGGCTGCATACCAGCTCCATGGGACTGGGGATTGTGGTTTCTACTCCATGCAGGATTAATTGCATGAAATAAATCAAACCTGGGAATCCTTAAACCCCGCCGCCCAGCCACTTGATTTTAATAAGTTTGAGCCTAGTCCCGTTCTTCTTCATCCACACTTATCATGTCCAATTTTTCAACTTTCAAACATTAGGGATGCTCAAAAATTGTGACATGCCTTGGGGATTGTAAAGATATTTTGGTTACTTTAATATAATTCAGATGTGCTTGGTAAGTAACTAAATACTGTAAATATCATACCTTCTTAACATTTTGTTTATTCCCTACATCATGAGAAAAAAATATCTCGAGAGCCACACAGCACAAGGGTTAAAGAGTTACTTTTTTTGTTAATGAGAACTTAATTGTTCCACTCTCAACAGTTGCTGTTACATAAATGCACATTACTGATCAGATCATCCCTTTCCAATTTGAGAAATTACTTTGCTTGTATTAAGTCCAAGGAAGACACTAGAGAAACACATGCTGTCATAAATTTGTTAAAAGTTTCAGATTAGAAAAGCATAGAAAAACATTTCTGAACAAAAAAAAATCTCGCTTCCAACTCATCTGTAGGGAACATGAAACTTAGCCATCTCAGATTCCTGTTAATAAATCCCATGAAAGAAAAACGAAACATTATTCATTGGCTGCATTCCTTCTTTATGTTAATCGGGATGACTTTACATATCCCCTCCCAGAGTCCTGCCTCTCTTAAGTGCCTCTCCAGTGTCAACTGTCAGGAAAGCAGCTTTCTTTCACAGAAGCTCCTACAGGTTTTTCTTTCTGGTCCTGGGACATGCAATTTTTGTGCAGTTTCAATTCAGAAGAAACTGCTTTGGGCTTCTAGAAAAAAAAATTGTGGCAGGACTAAATACGAAGAGGAGTAAAGTTACATTTGCCAGAACGTCTTTGTAACTGCTGTTGTTGCTCACGAAGAGTCTGCAAAGAGGAAAAGAAAGAAGTATTAATATTGCAGAATTCTGCGGAATGTTTTGATAGCTCTATGGATCTTGATTATGAGAATCCAGCAAACCACTGCTAGAAAAGTAAATAATGTGCTTTCGGTTATAAGAGTTTTCTGCACAAGAAGTACCATTTCTTTGTCTATTAGCTTTGAACATCAAATGAAGGACACACCTCATTTCAAAAAAAGGAGAAGCACGTGGACCATGGACCAAACTGGAAAACCCCGAACTGACATCTATGTGTTCCACAGCTTTGGCTGCAACAAACACAAAGATGAAGGTAAATCCATTGTTTCCTGAAATTAATGTAATTAATTTGATATTTTAATTGTTATTGAAAGCAAACTTTTTTTAAAAAAAATCCACAGTGAATTCAGGGTTATTTTACTACTTGAAGCCAATTTCCAGTCCATGTCAGGCTGATTAAATGTCCCTAAAAAGAATCTATGTCTTAGTTTTCCCAAGGCCTCTTGCTGAGTTCATCTTAACAATCCCTGTTACACTTTTGGGAGAGAAAAAATTCCCAAGAGTAAAATCAGTAGAGTTCTTGGGATTTCTTTTAAATCACGGAATCCTTTATTTTAAAGAGAAAAACCAACAACAAAATGTATCCTCAATCTTATTTTCATTGATCTGTTTTTCTTGGAAAATATTTTCTGATCAAGTTACAGGTGTTATGACGAATCAGAGATGAAAATCTGCAGGACAGCTGAAGTTTGGTGGAACATTTTGTCATAAGCATATTTTTTGTACACACAGAACATTGCAAATGCAAGTTGCTAAGATAGGGGCATCACTTGCTAGTGTTTGCATGACAATGTCACGGAGAAGACCTATGTATGATTGAAGATAGACTGTAACTATCTGGAAGTTGCTAGGATAGAGAAACCTCTGTTCCCTTGGTTATTTTGTCATAAATTCTGCAATGAAAAATTCACCTGGAATAGAATTTTGTCCCATCCCTGGTCAAGAATTTCATCTGTAAATCAAATAGTAAGTAAAGGCAATTATGCTGGAATACTCACAATAAACTCTCGAGACACAGATGCCCATTACAAACCACAATGATGTCACAAACATAATAACATGTGTTTCCCTGTAATGGACCACGAGGATGACATTGGAGAACAAGATGCTGTGTAGGGAACACTCAAACAAGAGAAGCAAGAGCTCCCAATAGCTTAAAAATCAGAGGCTGAAAGGTCTGCCCTAAGGGTTTAAGTTAAAGGTGATGGTGGGAAGTTTGTACTTTCAGACTTGAAACATTCTGTTAATGTAGCCTTATAATAAACTAGAATTAGTTCATCAAGTTATATTTCCTGTCTGGTTTACCTGGAAAGCTGACATCAGCCCAAGTACTTTTGTATCCATGTTAAATATAATACCATGTTTCTCCAACAATACGGCCTCCCCCGATAGGAAGTCCCAGCATGTTTTATAGGCATGAAGTGAAATTAAGCCCCTCCCCCCAAATTAAGGCGTATATTAAAACATGCAAAATGGTGGGGAATGGTGGGAGGGGGCTTGCCGTTAGGAAGTACTTTTGTTGCACACCCGGATATGGTGCTGCCTGCGTTGACCTCGATACGAAGTACCCCGCCAACGCCAAGGTCAACATCCAAGCCGTCGCCGCCTGCCCGCCCAAAGATGTAAGGGGGGGGAATTAAGTCACCCCCGAAAAGACGGCCTAACCATTTTTTCGGGGCTCAAAAAAAAAAAGTCCCGGCCTTATTATATGAGAAACACGGTAGCAACACAGTGACAACATATTCCATGTGCCCCTCCCTGATACCTTCAATGAAATTGATGTTCCAGATGTTCTGAAATTCAATGTCAGTTACCTCCATTGGAATGGATAATAGCATACTCCGTTAGGAGTCTTCCATTCCATACTGGAATTGCAATCTTGTGCATCTGCAAGGCTCTGTTTTTGATAATTCAATTTCCTAAAGATTGTTCACTAAGAACGTTATTCACAGGCGTAAAACCCTCCAAAAATAAATATATATATATTGAATTACCCAAAGGGCATCGGGAAACAACAATTATCAGTGTATAATGCTTCATAAACATTGAGAAATCTAACCTCAGAGGTTTGCCACCTAGTGGCATGTATTGAACATTAAAGAAAGACAACGATATTGCCTATGTTTTAAGATGGTTTTCTTTTTGAGTGGAAATATTAAGGTTTTATATAGTGAGTATATATTTATAAAGTGAATTTCAAACACTCAGAGTAGACTCATTGAAATCCCTGGGATTTCATTCAAGTCACAGCATCATTTTAACCATTTCAATAATGTAGACTGAGGTCAGATTCACTCAATTTGCAATGTAATTAGTGGGTGCGGGTGGCACAGGGGGGAAATTATGACCTCGAATGTAAAAATGAGAGATATCTACTTGTGCTAAAGCAGGGGTGTCAAACTCAAGGACTGGGGGCCAGATCCAACTCACAGAGCCACCCTGGAAACAGCAAAGGACCGGCTCACAGTGCCTCTGCCAGCGAAAACAGAGCTCGGGAGGGCCACATGTGGTCCTCCCGAGCTCTTTTTTCACTGGCAAAGGGTTTCAGGAGGTTATCACAACAGAAAATGGAGCTCTGGAGCCCGTTTTCACTGCCAGAGCATTCAGACAACCACAGGTGCCCCCGAAACAAGTGATGTTGAGCTGGCCATGGGCCCCACGGCCATGCCCACCCCGGCTCCCTGAGGTCAAACACAACCCTGATGTGGCCCTCAATGAAATTGAGTTTGACATCCCTGTGCTAAAGCATACTTTAGCAGAAGAAATGTTGAACATACAGTATGTTATTTTATTTTATTTTACTGATTTGTATATTTATTATTGTGTTTTAGATGCTGCTCTGTTCCAAAATGCCTTTAAGCAGCACCTGACAAAAATAAAGTTTTAAAACTTCTGAATAGTGATAAATAATATATATTACAGTAGTCCCGCCCTCCTCTCAAAATTGAGCAACTGGTTATTGCTAGTTCATGCGGATTATATTACCCAACAGTGTGTGTTCAATTTATTTTTAAATTATATTTACAAAGAATGATGTACAAATCCAGCCCTGATAGACCAGTGGTGTCTGTGAAAGAGGGCAATATGGCTTACTCAACAAACTATATTTGAGAAAATTCTGACTTAACATGATGCTAAAAGAAACCAATGTTGGTAGATTTTGTGAGCGAAGCAGAGCTGAAATGAACAGACTGCTATTTATTGCAGTGAGAAACTAGGAATTGTGTGAGTTTCCTTGAGAATGGTAGTTTAGTTCTTGATGGCTTCTCCAAAGGTTTGGTGAATGGTGACCACTGAGTCTGTGCTGAGAACAATGTAGGCTCTGACTTGGGACATCTGAGGCCAACCTAGCCATGAACATCTGAGAAGTTGCATTAACCCATTCGAATGATTGTCCTTGGTTGCAGGAAAGATTCACTAAGGTTGTCTATTTATGATTTTACGCTGGGTTGGAGAATATTAGCTTTAACATCATTTTTCATTATTTAAACCTCTTAAATAATTTGCCCATGTCCATGTGTTCCAGTAGGAAGAGCTGCTTTCTAAGCAAATAAAGAAACTCAGAAGCAATTATAGAAGATGGAAGCAAATGATTACTGTCAACATCTCCCATATGTTGCAATGTGCAGTTTTAATTCTGGGGAGGTCCACAGAATGCCTCAAACTCAGTTTGGAAGATGTGCTTCAGGACAGATAGAAGTACTCCTTTCAAAATCAGAGATTGCATACTTTTATTTTATTTATTTATTTATTTTGATTTGTCAATCACTTACAGGATAATAGGTATAAGTATATACATAGTTATGAATACATGAAATGGGTACATATAAGAAAAAGAAAAATATATGGGTACATATAAGAAAAATAAAAGAAACAATAGGCCAGGGACGGTAGGCACTTTGGTGTGCTTATGCACGCCCCCTACTTACTGTAGCTCTCACACTGACCTTTTTGAGGGACTTCAAAACTTCAGAGATTTAGAACATGGGCCTTCACCGCTAACAACCTGATTCATCAGCCACAACTTGTTATATACAGTATATTTACTTATTTGATGCTGCTTCAGGTGACATTTTTAAACCAAAGAGAGGATTTCATATATTTAAAAAATGGAACAATAGAAAGAAATTTTGCTAATAAAATTACAGTGCCATTTTAAGTCACTTGCCGTATCATTCTAACTTTTTCACACACTGAGGAATTAGAATCTTTTGAATATTATTCTGATACTGAACTGAATATCCTAGAATTGATTTCTACACTTCTAACTGATGGTTAAAAATAATTAAGAAACTGTTTTCTCCCAACCTGACAAATATATTGGAAAATATATTCCTGGGAGTAACAGCAATTGCTGTTACAGAGTCCATGAGTGTTTTATCGCTTTGACTATATCTCGGACATTTTGAGATAAAGAGAAATAAAATTCAGAATTTTGCAATGGGGAATCATTTGAAAGAATAGAATATAGAATATTCTTTATTGGCCAGGTGTGATTGGACACACAAGGAATTTGTCTCCAGTCCATAAGCTCTCATGTACATACGAACAACAACATAATATAATCATAAGATACTTTCTAATTTAAGATCTAGGCAGTAGAAAATGTATTTTATATTGGGGGTCAGAAATGCAGCACTTGCATAACATGGGTATCTGTGACACCCCTAAATAACTTTTGGGAATTTTCAACTTTTATAATGGCAAAAAACCTAAGGGATCATCTTTTTCCAAGAATATCTACCTGTGCAATCCAGTCCATCAGACTAGGCATACTGTGGATCCCATCAGCCAAAAAATGTTGGCTACCAAGGACCAGAAGATGGGCCTTCTCTGCTGTAGCCTCTGTTTTGTGGATTCTTCTCCCTTCAGAGATTAGAATAGAAATGCTCGCAACAGAATACCCTATATCACCAAGCTTGAAATTTTGGGCTTGGACAACCTTGAACTATGCTGCCTACGGATGGACTTAAGCGTAGTACACAAAATTATCTGCTACAATGTCCTACCAGCCAATGACTACTTCAGCTTCAAACGTAACAATACAAGAGCACACAACAGATACAAACTCAATGTAAACTGCTCCAAACTTGATTGCAGAAAGTACGACTTCAGCAACAGAGTGATCAATGCCAGGAATGCACTACCTGACTCTGTTGTTACATCCTTTAACCCCCACTCTTTTAATCTTAAACTATCCACTATTGACCTCACCTCATTCCTAAGAGGTCTGTAAGGGGCGTGCATGTGCAC